AAACACCATGGCAGTGAAGGACGGATTGGGCCCGCGGCCCGTATCCCAGACTGCCAAACGTCACTTTGTGAACCGACTAGAAACCAGCTCCAAACCTTGACTTTTCCTGCGTTTCTGCACTCCCAACTGCCACCCTGCTCGTGTCCTCCTGGAGCCGGCTTTCGTTCTGCGGCCCGTAGCCCAGAGTGCCAAACGTTACTTTCTGAACCGATTAGAAACTAGCTCCAAACCTTGACTTTGCCTGCGTTTCTGCGCTGCCAACTGCCACCCTGCTCGTGTCCTCCTGGCGCCGGCTTTCGTTCTGCACCGCTTCGGTCCAAGCTGGAGTCCAAGGACCGTGTCGCAGGGCTAAAACACCATGGCAGTGAAGGACGGATTGGGCCCGCGGCCCGTATCCAGACTGCCAAACGTCACTTTCTGAACCGACTAGAAACTAGCTCCAAACCTTGACTTTTCCTGCGTTTCTGCACTGCCAACTGCCACCCTGCTCGTGTCCTCCTGAAGCCGGCTTTCGTTCTGCACCGCTTCGGTCCAAGCTGGAGTCCAAGGACCGTGTCGCAGGGCTAAAACACCATGGCAGTGAAGGACGGATTGGGCCCGCGGCCCGTATCCCAGACTGCCAAACGTCACTTTCTGAACCGACTAGAACTAGCTCCAAACCTTGACTTTTCCTGCGTTTCTGCACTGCCAACTGCCACCCTGCTCGTGTCCTCCTGGAGCCGGCTTTCGTTCTGCACCGCTTCGTCCAAGCTGGAGTCCAAGGACCGTGTCGCAGGGCTAAAACACCATGGCAGTGAAGGACGGATTGGGCCCGCGGCCCGTATCCCAGACTGCGAAACGTCACTTTCTGAACCGACTAGAAACTAGCTCCAAACCTTGACTTTTCCTGCGTTTCTGCACTGCCAACTGCCACCCTGCTCGTGTCCTCCTGGAGCCGGCTTTCTTTCTGCACCGCTTCGGTCCAAGCGGGGTTTGGGGGTGGGAAAAAATAAAAAGCGACCACAACGGGGGTGGCCGTGTCGCAGGGCTAAAACACCATGGCAGTGAAGGACGGATTGGGCCCGCGGCCCGTATCCCAGACTGCCAAACGTCACTTTCTGAGCCGACTAGAAACTAGCTCCAAACCTTGACTTTTCCTGCGTTTCTACACTGCCAACTGCCACCCTGCTCGTGTCCTCCTGGAGCCGGCTTTCGTTCTGCGCAAACTCTTCGCCCCTTCTGGCATCTTGTTGCTAGTAAGGCCTCCTCTGACGCGCTCCCCCTGCTGACGGCAGGGGTCGGCGGATATATATACATATACATATATATATATATACACATACAGACATATATATATATATATTGTAAATATAAATATGTTTATCGCATGCATTCAGATCTGTATCTCTCTCGCTCTCTATATGACTATTGTCTGTATACACATACATACATGGTCTGTGCAGAACAAATTTGGCGAATCAAGATGAATTCCTTTGGGACACTCAGAGCTTTTTATGACATTCAAGCAGTGTTTGTTACATTCAAGCAGGGTATGTTGGTTTGTTACATGTTCCTTAAATATCTTATGCCACGACATTCAAGCAGTGTTTGTTGATATGGCGATAGGGCCACGAGGATCGAGCTCCGCTGCCCAGGCGCTGGACTTTGCCAGCCCTCAGCGTGGCAGAGCTGACGTACCTCAGCGTGAGACCGTGGGGCTTGTTGATGGGGTCAGAACCAAGAAGATTCTTGGGGTTTTCCAATAGAACTTCAACTTTTGGTGATTTAATGCCCCCATCATCTACTTAAGAACAGCACACATACACGAAGACATTTTGTCTTTTCCTCGTTTTTATATCCGGATTTGATCTTCCCCACTTTTTCCGGTGGATTTTTTTCCCAGGTTCGCAGGAAGGTCTTGGAGCCAGGCAAGGCTGCGGCTTTTCGCAACTGAAGATGGAAGATGGGGGTCAGTTCACCATCAAAGGCCATGGGTTATAGGGGGTTTGTATGGAAGTTTAAGAATCCAACATCCATTTGAAATGTGGGGATCTCAATCTGATAGAATTGATGTACTTGATATCATTCATGTTTGGTAATGTTGATGACTTGCTCAGGCTATTGAACTATCCTTTATAATATCAGGGGACTGTCATGCTTTCCATGAACTGGGAATCCCAATGAACACCAACCATCCTTTGTTTCTTTTTTCCAAATACGTGGTTGAACGTCATTTATTGACTACAGTACCATTCTAGATGTTGGAACCATCATTTCTTGGTTATTGCGTTTAATCAATTGACATAGCAATTGACAATCATTTGTTATGTTGGATTTAACAATCATAAATCAATGACAAATTGTTTTTTTTTTTTATTACAGGAACAATAGTTAACGAATATGAACGATTGATATTAAACCACCAATTTCCAAGATGTTTTGATTCCAATGGTTACGCATCATATTAGGTGATTTAACCATTATGAACCACCGCCCGGGGCTAAATCCCAAATCTTTTCCTCGCCTCTCCTCTTCAGGCCTTTCGGGAGAGCCTCTCTCCGATCATGGCCTTCCTGTGGAGGATACAGCCTGGGTGCCAAGTGAGGGTCAATCTTTTTGAATGGTTAGTTTATTGGCTATATATGGCTATATTGTGTGCATTTTTTCCTTTTTTGATGGGATAGTTGAACATATTTTGATATCCAGCAATATCTAAGGGTAGCGGTTTGACGCCTGTTGCTTTCAAGATCCGACAAAATAGCACATATGTTTTCATGTTGGTTTCTCTGAGCATACTAGTAGGGTCCCCCAAATTTGACGGTGGATCGGCCTCCCATGGAGATCCTTTGCACCCCCCTAATTCGAAAAGCACGGTACTGAACAGGTTGCACCGATAGATTTTCGTGTCCTGGTGACCTTTCAAAGGAAAAACACAGACACTGCGATTGTCGGTATTTTGTGTGGCACCTCTTTGCACATGTGGCCCGCACAAGCAGTTGATATGGATCACCAATCTGGGTATCGGGTACCGCAATCCTTGTTTTAGTTCATTATATGATATTATATGTGTTTAAGGTCCAAAAGTGATCAGCCAATTTGTCGGTTTGGGAACGTTGACCGTGGACACAGATGGATTCTGAGGTAACAGGCGAGGCCCTCTTGAACGCTGCCAGCAAGAGACTCGAAGAGTTGCAGGACTGAATAAATATGGCTGTAAACCAAGCATTTGTCGAAATTGCACACTGATGATGTATAGAATAATATATATATATATAATATAGATAATATCATATAATGATATATGATATATGTATATAAATAAATAAATACACAAATACGTGTATATATATATACATAATAACATGTATAGATTCACAGGTACCGCTGATTGGTAGCTTCAACCCATCTCCCCGCTGATCTAGTCAGTGGGGACGATCATCCCTGAAAATCCACCATAGCCCATGGTGCAACGGGCTGCGAAAGGAAAGAGAGAAGGCTTTAGATCATTTGCTGACGGCAATGGATGAGTAGCCCTGGCGTGGTGGAGATATGCTTGGAGATCTTGGGGATTGCTGAAGAGCATCACAACTATGGGAGATAGATGGTATTTATATATATATATGTATATATATATGTATATATATGTATATATGTATATATATATGTATATATATATACATAGATAGATAGATGGATGGATGGATGGATGGATGGATGGATGGATGGATGGATAGATAGATAGATAGATGGTATATAACCAAGAGAGCTGGTTGGTGGTTTCAGATATTTGGACCAGCCGCTCCCGGGTGTCATGGCCATGGCCTGGGGGATTTTATCGCCAGAATCCAGCAGAAGAGCGCACCAGTCATGGAGGGCTTGGCGACATTTGAGGAGGCGCTTGGCACGTAGGACGGGTAGGACGGGTAGCGGCGAAGATCATAGAGTCATAGAACATCATATTTTGAAGAAACATCTAAAAAAAACAAAGTTCCAAGTCGTCAATTCTGTATTTCTATCTGGTTCCATGTTCATCTTTGCTCATCTTTGCGCTTTGGAGACCGTGTGAAACACAGCTTTTGATTCGACGCAGGCACTGCAAAACGCCAGGGAAAAGGGCCAGGGCCCCCAGGGCCCCCAGGGCTCTCGATGATTTCAACGGGCGATCCCATTTTTTCCTCTGGCATCCCGGGATCACCTGAGGCGTCGCGAAGGATTTGAAGCTTGGGGAAGGGGTTGGTGGCTCAGTTGACGCTGAATCAACCAAGACAAAATGCCACATTTTGAGATGCAAACTGCATACGACATGCCCTCCTGCCTTGTTTCGAGTTAGATCTTTCATTCAAAAAGTACAATGTGGTAAACCCAATAGTAACCCACCCCCAATAGAGGTTTATTGGGTGTGTCACAGGATGTCAAGTGATGTCATTGGAAACACAATCCCAAACAGGGGTATACCGAAAAATGTCGAGCTCTATTGACTCTATGGGACATGGTTTATTTAATTGGGCTTTACCACATGATCAACCATTAACCAGTGTTGATTATTCATGGTTTTTTCAGTGGTTTTCATAGTGGCTATGAAGGGTTTTCTATCATGGTCATGGTCAGTTCCCACAGGTCTTCCTGCCCTGCTGGGGAGCCCTGTGGGATGAGAATCCAGTGGCAGCTGTGCCAAGTGGGACACCCTCTGGTTATTTGGATTTATTTGGGGGTTTCCATAAATGGTGGTACCCCAAAAACGCTGGATGGTTTATTATGTTTATTTCATGGAACATCCCATTAAAATTTGGATGATTTGGGGGTAGCCCTATATTAGGAAACCTCTATATGTAAGTTATAGAGCCAAAGAACTTGGGAGTTGCCACACTTGGAACATCTTGGAACATTCCATGAATTTCTGGGTGATTGGAGGCTACGAAAATTTCAGGACCCCCCCCCATTTGTTACACAGCGATGGTACTCCTCGCGGAGGTGAGGCGAATCCCTGTCTTTATCCCCACTTGGAAAACAGCATCATTTCCAGTGACAGCTCATATATATATATATTATATACCGTATATGTACGTATATGTATATGTATATATATATAAACAATATATATATATAATATGTGTATATATATAAAAATTATATATATATATACGCGCTCTGCTTTTGGACCCCCCAAAAAACATTTCCCAGTTTTGATGCAGAAAAAAGTCCCTCCTGGAATGGGATGAGGCTAAAATAAGCGTTTTGCCGTTTCGATTTTTTGAGTGGCAACATGGATGGTAAAAATCCGTGGTTCCATTTTCCATATATATCCATTTTCCATATATAAATCATTGTTATATCTTGATTATATATATATATATATACATATACATACATATATATATATCTTGATTATATATCTTCCATATATACACATGTATTTATCCGCTACTGAGGCCTGTAATATCTCAATTTCTCCCTGCATCTCCAATGTATCACTCGGTTGACCGTTTGATGTACCCAGTGGTTGATACCCATTGAGATTTGGCCATGGAATTTCCCATCAGGCACGTGGACCTGGGCCCCTTGTCAGTACTATTTAAAAACTCGATATGGCAGTGTGTCAAAACCTTGTACCCCTGGTGAACATCAAAATAGCTGGTAAATGGATGTTCATTCCCCTAAAAATGGTATTAATAGGTATTGATCCATACCCGATAATATCTTCTCATTGTCACTATATAAAATTGACATCTTGAAGATTATAATTGGTATATCCAATATTATTGCTATTTGTCCGTCATAATCAAGACATATCATTCTCTCATACACAATATATTGACCATTAGCGTGGCAATTATATTGATATTGGCCAACATATCCATTGTGTTGGACTATCATGAAAATTGTACATCCAATACGCACGCTGTTGCCCCCCCCAGACACAGTTGATTTATAAACACCATTAACTATACAGTTCGAACATATCTATATTCCACAAACATCCATAAACCATAGTTACCCTCCTGTAAAATCTGTAAACTAAGATAGATGTGGAAAACCTCGCATTTTTGGATCATTTTCCGGTTTCCGTTAATGGGTTTTCCGTACATCTTGGCCATGTTTACCCTAGGGTCACGGTGCATCAGCAGGCTCGAAGGATGAGGATCAAGCCTGGGCGAGATGCTCAGCCTCGGGGTATCAATGGGGGTTTCCTAAAATGGGTGTACCTAAAAATGGATGGTTTATTTCATGGACCATCCATCCATAAATGGATGCTTTGGGGGTAGCCCTATTTCAGGAAATCACCATATGTATCCATATGTGTATCATTGTTGATAAATATGGTGATATATTAATATTGATACAGCTGAGGACACCTATTAGAATGGATTTTTAGGGAGCCCTATGACTATGGAAACCACCAAATGACAATCAACGATGGGGAGATGATGGGGATAGAATCTACAACCCTTCGCTGTTGAGAATATACTTGAAAGCCATTCCCAAAGAATAATGTTTTGGGTTGGGGTTCTCAAGGTTGTAAAAATTATTATGTTATGTATACTGTATATATATATATTGAAATAATATGTATATATATATACATTTTTCATTTTCAATCCATCCCTATATTTTTAAAAAACAAATGAATTTTCATCATTTTTTTGCTATATTTCTGTTTTTTTGCAAATAAAAAATGTAATTAGAAAAAAATGCTCATTTTCCTCCTGAAAAGGAATGACAGTCATGAATTAGTCATGAACATCATGAAAGTAACAAAAGTACTGAAAGTACGATGAAGAAAAAATCCCCAAAGAAGCATTCAGAAAAGTGGAACATGCACAGGTTTTCTCCAACCAATTAAATGGGATTGTTCTAAAGAGATGATTTCACCATTTGGCTGAGGGCAATTTTATCCCCAATCCTATGGCAATTTTAATGTGAACAGACGTTAGCCATTTTTTTAGCCATGGGATTGTTGGATCTTTTTGGGATTTGGATTTGTTATATTTTTCCCATAATTTTCGGAGAAAGCTTTGGACCTTTGTTTCTAAGGCAACATCTGGATTTCTATACATTTTTTTTGGGGGGTGATGTTTGGCAAGTCCATGTGCACCTACAGATTTCCCTGGAAACCCGACCTCTTGGTGAATTTCTGAGAGTCCGCAGGACGAGATCGTGTTTCTCTAGCTGCTTATGTGGTTTCCGAAGTTTTTTTTTGGGGCCCCGAAACTTCCAAGTCAGACTATTTCAGTATTGAAACCCATGGTGACTTGGGGACCCACTTTAGGACACCTCCATGTATTCATCATCGTGATCCGTTTTTGGCGAACTCAGTGTACCAAGGCACCTGATGCTGACGCTAAAGTGACAGAGGACGAGGAGATCTCACAGGTCGTGAAAATCAGAGATGATTTGGGGCACCCATTGGAGGAAATGGAGGTTTCCTAAAAAGGGAGTAGCCCAAGTCACCATAGGTTTCAATACTAATTCATGGTCCAATTTGGATGATTTGGAAGTAGGGAATCACCAAATGAAGATCCAATGAATATCCAAAACACCACCGAATTGGGGAATGCCACTCTATCAAAAAAAATCTTCATCAATCAATCCATGGCAAGGGGGATTTATTCCCTACGCATTGTTTCAGGATTCCCATGGGATGGATGACCGACCACACCATTAAATCCATGTAACTTGACCGTGGCACATATCATGTCATTTGTTATCTAGTTACTAGTTGTATATATATATATAATATATATTTTTACATCTACACAGTGTATAAATATATATATATATATAATGGTTGGTGGTTTCAAACAATTTTTATTTTTCCATGATATATGGGACTGTCATCATCCCAAGTGACGAACTCATATTTTTCAGAGGGGCAGGTATACCACCAACCAGATATCATCAACCAGCCGCCAAATCATCATCTTTTTTTCGGTGGTAGGTAGAAACCATCCCCTGGAAACTGGGTGGTAAAAATGGCATTGTTTTACCCACATGAGTTAAATCCCATGAAATCCCATGAAATCACCATTAAATCACCATTCAATCCCCATTAAATCACCATAAAACCCCAATTTTCAATAGTTAAATTAGTTAAATCCCATTGAAATCCAACGTCTTGACCATGGCACATTTGATGACGTTGGCGCATGCCAATTTTTCACACCCCCTGTCCAACTCCCGGCAGGTGAGCGATGCAGCTGAGGCCTTGGAAGACCGAAGATCCTTGTCTGGAGCTCAACATTGCCTTTGGAAGCCGCATTGTATTGGTAAGATTCTTCATATACACACATATATATATATACATGTATACACATATATATATATATACATGTATACACATATATATATATATATATACATATATATATATATGTATATATATATACACTGACACATGTCTATACATTGAAATGAAATGAAATGATACTCATATTCATAATGCAATACGCACACAGAGAATGAATCTTACAGATATATTTATGTAGATATATAATATACATTACACTCACACCATCACACACTCATAGGTATAATTCAATATACATCTTTATTTCATTTCGTGGTAAGTTCCATATGCTGGAAACGAAGGTATTTTGAACAACTTTCGTTTCATCAAAAAGCTTGCCACTGGAAAGCCAACCTGAAAAGCCGAGAAACAACATGTTCAATAGGTAAATCCCTTGAAATGGAGTTGAAAACTGAATGCTTGAGACAAAAGCAAATCTGGAGTTTTTCTGTGGTCTTAGATTTGGATGTGTCTGAAAATCGGCTAACTATCAAGGGCTCCACTTGTCAGCTATATACATATATATATATACCATCTGGTTATTTACATAGCCATGGAAAATCACCATTTTCAAGAACGGTAAACCATCTATTTCTATGGGTCATCTATACCATGGCTATGTTGGTCATAACCAGAGGGTATATATTTTTAAAGATTGCCACTTATGTGGTATCCCCAAAACTGGTACTTACCGCATTTTCAGACCCAGAAATCCACCACTAAAACCGCTGCGATGGAACACACCGCAGGTTGGACGTCATTGACCAAGCGGCGAAGGCGACGAAGGGCTTCAAGTTACCGATGAATTTACCATGTGACTGGGGGAATAAACATACATTCACCACCTTTTTTTGTAGAAAAATTGAGTCGAAGTCATTTTTTGCAGTTTTAGAGCAGAATCCGAATCCAAGTAACCCACTCATCCATCAGTGCACTTGCCTGCCCACTATCACACAGGCAGAACTTCAGAAAGCCCCGAGTCCTATGACGGAATCTCCCTTGTGGGAGGAGTTAAACAAGGACTTGCCCCCCGGTTGCAGGGATGTGATGGCATGCCTAGGGGTACTTGCTCCGCAGCTGCTGCAACCTAACCCACTTGCCCTGACATGCCCCGACATGCCCTGACTATTCCTTTTGGATCCTTTTGGTGTAGAAGTGCTGAACAACCCCAAATACGCAAATCTGAGTATGTAATATACATGGATGTGCTGGTTGGACAGAGTTGGATAGAGGATCTCCTCAACGATTCCAGCGAATTGAACTTCTCCATACTCTCCCCGTTCCCTGAGGCCAAAGTGGCCGAACGCGTCTGGAAGTCAACAGCCAGCTGAACCGAACACACCAGCGCTGTCATCGGCTGCTGCAAGCGTGCCAACTGCCAAGGCGATGAGGGGTCATGAGTGAAGTGCCATTAGAGGCACCACAAGTTTACCCCATCTCCTTCACATATCCTAACTCCTGTCCAAACTCTATCATGCGGTATCCATCCATCATGTTCACATTGTATAATTTATCATTCATGAAATCATGAAATCATCATATTCCGGGAGTCGTTCTTTTTTTGAGTCTAGCGTCCTTTGAGTCAAATCCAAATCCACAATCCCACCCACCATCCATCCATCCGTCCGCCCGTCCATCCATCGATCCATCCAATCCATCCACCTACTCAGCCACCCACTGATTCCAATCATCCAACAATCCTGCCACATCCTGCCACCCATCACACAGGCCAAGCTTGAGACGGTCCCACCTATGGAGGAAACTTCCTTGCTGGAGGAGCTAAACAAGGACTTGCCGCCTGGTTGCAGGGACGGCAGGCCTAGGAAATGTACAGATTGACCCAAATAATCCCAAATATACGGTTCCTTGTTTCACCAGTGAATCGGATTGATTGACGAATATTCAAACTTATTGACATCATGTCCACTTGCCCTGACATGCCCTGACTATTCCTTTTGGGTCCTTTTGGTGTAGAAGTGCTGAACAACCCCAAATACGCAAATCTGAGTATGTAATATACATGGATGTGCTGGTTGGACAGAGTTGGATAGAGGATCTCCTCAACGATTCCAGCGAATTGAACTTCTCCATACTCTCCCCGTTCCCTGAGGCCAAAGTGGCCGAACGCGCCTGGAAGTCAACAGCCAGCTGAACCGAACACACCAGCGCAGTCATCGGCCGCTGCAAGCGTGCCAACTGCCAAGGCGATGAGGGGTCATGAGTGAAGTGCCATTAGAGGCACCACAAGTTTACCCCATCTCCTTCACATATCCTAACTCCTGTCCAAACTCTATCATGCGGTATCCATCCATCATGTTCACATTGTATAATTTATCATTCATGAAATCATCATATTCCGGGAGTCGTTCTTTTTTTGAGTCCAGCGTCCTTTGAGTCAAATCCAGATCCAGACAGGCCGAACTTCAGAAGGCCCCGAGTCCTGTGGCGGAAACTTCCTTGCTGCAGGAGCTAAACAAGGACTTGCCGCCTGGTTGCAGGGACGGCATGCCTAGGAAATGTACAGATTGACCCAAATATACGGTTCCTTGTTTCAACAGTGAATCGGATTGATTGACGAATATTCAAACTTATTGACATCATGTCCACTTGCCCTGACATGCCCATACTCTCCCCGTTCCCTGAGGCCAAAGTGGCCGAACGCGTCTGGAAGTCAACAGCCAGCTGAACCGAACACACCAGCGCTGTCATCGGCCGCTGCAAGCGTGCCAACTGCCAAGGCGATGAGGGGTCATGAGTGAAGTGCCATTAGAGGCACCACAAGTTTGCCCCATCTCCTTCACATATCCTAACTCCTGTCCTGACTCTATCATGCGGTATCCATCCATCATGTTCACATTATATAATTTATCATTCATGAAATCATCATATTCCGGGAGTCGTTTTTGTTTTTGAGTCCAGCGTCCTTTGAGTCAAATCCAAATCCACCATCCCACCCACCATCCATCCATCCGTCCGCCCGTCCATCCATCGATCCATCCAATCCATCCACCTACTCAGCCACCCAATGTCACCCACTGATTCCAATCATCCAACAATCCTGCCACATCCTGCTACCCATCACACAGGCCAAGCTTGAGACGGTCCCGCCTATGGAGGAAACTTCCTTGCTGGAGGAGTTAAACAAGGACTTGCCGCCTGGTTGCAGGGACGGCATGGCTAGGAAATGTACATATTGACCCAAATATACGGTTCCTTGTTTCAACAGTGAATCGGATTGATTGACAAATATTCAAACTTATTGACATCATGTCCACTTGCCCTGACATGCCCTGACTATTCCTTTTGGGTCCTTTTGGTGTAGAAGTGCTGAACAACCCCAAATACACAAATCTGAGTATGTAATATACATGGATGTGCTGGTTGGACAGAGTTGGATAGAGGATTTCCTCAACGATTCCAGCGAATTGAACTTCTCCATACTCTCCCCGTTCCCTGAGGCCAAAGTGGCCGAACGCGTCTGGAAGTCAACAGCCAGCTGAACCGAACACACCAGCGCAGTCATCGGCCGCTGCAAGCGTGCCAACTGCCAAGGCGATGAGGGGTCATGAGTGAAGTGCCATTAGAGGCACCACAAGTTTGCCCCGTCTCCTTCACATATCCTAACTGACTCCTGTCCTCATTCTATCATGCGGTATCCATCCATCATGTTCACATTATATAATTTATCATTCATGAAATCATCATATTCCGGGAGTCGTTCTTTTTTTGAGTCGAGCGTCCTTTGAGTCAAATCCAAATCCACCATCCCACCCACCATCCATCCGTCCGTCCGCCCGTCCATCCATCGATCCATCCAATCCATCCACCTACTCAGCCACCCAATGCCACCCACTGATTCCAATCATCCAACAATCCTGCCAGCCTGCCACATCCTGCCACCCATCACACAGGCCAAGCTTGAGAAGGTCCCGCCTATGGAGGAAACTTCCTTGCTGGAGTTAAACCAGGACTTGCCGCCTGGTTGCAGGGTCGGCATGCCTAGGAAATGTACAGATTGACCCAAATATACAGTTCCTTGTTTCAACAATGAATCGGATTAAAGACGAATATTCAAACTTATTGACATCATGTCCACTTGCCCTGACATGCCCTGACTATTCCTTTTGGGTCCTTTTGGTGTAGAAGTGCTGAACAACCCCAAATACGCAAATCTGAGTATGTAATATACATGGATGTGCTGGTTGGACAGAGTTGGATAGAGGATTTCCTCAACGATTCCAGCGACTTGAACTTCTCCATACTCTCCCCGTTCCCTGAGGCCAAAGTGGCCGAACGCGCCTGGAAGTCAACAGCCAGCTGAACCGAACACACCAGCGCTGTCATCGGCCGCTGCAAGCGCAACTGCCAAGGCGATGAGGGGTCATGAGTGAAGTGCCATTAGAGGCACCACAAGTTTGCCCCATCTCCTTCACATATCCTAACTCCTGTCCCAACTCTATCATGCGGTATCCATCCATCATGTTCACATTATATAATTTATCATTCATGAAATCATCATATTCCGGGAGTCGTTTTTGTTTTTGAGTCCAGCGTCCTTTGAGTCAAATCCAAATCCACCATGACACCCACCATCCATCCATCCGTCCGCCCGTCCATCCATCGATCCATCCAATCCATCCACCTACTCAGCCACCCAATGCCACCCACTGATTCCAATCATCCAACAATCCTGCCACATCCTGCCACCCATCACACAGGCCAAGCTTGAGACGGTCCCGCCTATGGAGGAAACTTCCTTGCTGGAGTTAAACAAGGACTTGCCGCCTGGTTGCAGGGACGGCATGCCTAGGAAATGTACAGATTGACCCAAATATACGGTTCCTTGTTTCAACAGTGAATCGGATTAAAGACGAATATTCAAACTTATTGACATCATGTCCACTTGCCCTGACATGCCCTGACTATTCCTTTTGGATCCTTTTGGTGTAGAAGTGCTGAACAACCCCAAATACGCAAATCTGAGTATGTAATATACATGGATGTGCTGGTTGGACAGAGTTGGATAGACGATTTCCTCAACGATTCCAGCAAATTGAACTTCTCCATACTCTCCCCGTTCCCTGAGGCCAAAGTGGCCGAACGCGTCTGGAAGTCAACAGCCAGCTGAACCGAACACACCAGCGCTGTCATCGGCCGCTGCAAGCGTGCCAACTGCCAAGGCGATGAGGGGTCACGAGTGAAGTGCCATTAGAGGCATCACAAGTTTGCCCCATCTCCTTCACATATCCTAACTCCTGTCCTAACTCTATCATGCGGTATCCATCCATCATGTTCACATTATATAATTTATCATTCATGAAATCATCATATTCCGGGAGTCGTTTTTGTTTTTGAGTCCAGCGTCCTTTGAGTCAAATCCAAATCCACCATCCCACCCACCATCCATCCATCCGTCCGCCCGTCCATCCATCGATCCATCCAATCCATCCACCTACTCAGCCACCCAATGCCACCCACTGATTCCAATCATCCAACAATCCTGCCACATCCTGCCACCCATCACACAGGCCAAGCTTGAGACGGTCCCGCCTATGGAGGAAACTTCCTTGCTGGAGTTAAACAAGGACTTGCCGCCTGGTTGCAGGGACGGCATGCCTAGGAAATGTACAGATTGACCCAAATATACGGTTCCTTGTTTCAACAGTGAATCGGATTGATTGACAAATATTCAAACTTATTGACATCATGTCCACTTGCCCTGACATGCCCTGACTATTCCTTTTGGGTCCTTTTGGTGTAGAAGTGCTGAACAACCCCAAATACACAAATCTGAGTATGTAATATACATGGATGTGCTGGTTGGACAGAGTTGGATAGAGGATCTCCTCAACGATTCCAGCGAATTGAACTTCTCCATACTCTCCCCGTTCCCTGAGGCCAAAGTGGCCGAACGCGTCTGGAAGTCAACAGCCAGCTGAACCGAACACACCAGCGCTGTCATCGGCCGCTGCAAGCGTGCCAACTGCCAAGGCGATGAGGGGTCACGAGCGATGTGCTATTAGAGGCACCACAAGTTTGCCCCATCTCCTACACATATCCTAACTGACTCCTGTCCTCATTCTATCATGCGGTATCCATCCATCATGTTCACATTATATAATTTATCATTCATGAAATCATCATATTCCGGGAGTCGTTCTTTTTTTGAGTCGAGCGTCCTTTGAGTCAAATCCAAATCCACCATCCCACCCACCATCCATCCATCCGTCCGCCCGTCCATCCATCGATCCATCCAATCCATCCACCTACTCAGCCACCCACTGATTCCAATCATCCAACAATCCTGCCAGCCTGCCACATCCTGCCACCCATCACACAGGCCAAGCTTGAGAAGGTCCCGCCTATGGAGGAAACTTCCTTGCTGGAGTTAAACCAGGACTTGCCGCCTGGTTGCAGGGCCGGCATGCCTAGGAAATGTACAGATTGACCCAAATATACGGTTCCTTGTTTCAACAGTGAATCGGATTAAAGACGAATATTCAAACTTATTGACATCATGTCCACTTGCCCTGACATGCCCTGACTATTCCTTTTGGATCCTTTTGGTGTAGAAGTGCTGAACAACCCCAAATACACAAATCTGAGTATGTAATATACATGGATGTGCTGCTTGGACAGAGTTGGATAGAGGATCTCCTCAACGATTCCAGCGAATTGAACTTCTCCATACTCTCCCCGTTCCCTGAGGCCAAAGTGGCCGAACGCGCCTGGAAGTCAACAGCCAGCTGAACCGAACACACCAGCGCTGTCATCGGCCGCTGCAAGCGTGCCAACTGCCAAGGCGATGAGGGGTCACGAGTGAAGTGCCATTAGAGGCATCACAAGTTTGCCCCATCTCCTTCACATATCCTAACTCCTGTCCTAACTCTATCATGCGGTATCCATCCATCATGTTCACATTATATAATTTATCATTCATGAAATCATCATATTCCGGGAGTCGTTTTTGTTTTTGAGTCCAGCGTCCTTTGAGTCAAATCCAAATCCACCATCCCACCCACCATCCATCCATCCGTCCGCCCGTCCATCCATCGATCCATCCAATCCATCCACCTACTCAGCCATTCACTGATTCCAATCATCCAACAATCCTGCCACATCCTGCCACCCATCACACAGGCCAAGCTTGAGACGGTCCCGCCTATGGAGGAAACTTCCTTGCTGGAGGAGTTAAACAAGGACTTGCCACCTGGTTGCAGGGACGGCATGCCTAGGAAATGTACAGATTGACCCAAATATACGGTTCCTTGTTTCAACAGTGAATCGGATTGATTGACAAATATTCAAACTTATTGACATCATGTCCACTTGCCCTGACATGCCCTGACTATTCCTTTTGGATCCTTTTGGTGTAGAAGTGCTGAACAACCCCAAATACACAAATCTGAGTATGTAATATACATGGATGTGCTGGTTGGACAGAGTTGGATAGAGGATCTCCTCAACGATTCCAGCGAATTGAACTTCTCCATACTCTCCCCGTTCCCTGAGGCCAAAGTGGCCGAACGCGTCTGGAAGTCAACAGCCAGCTGAACCGAACACACCAGCGCTGTCATCGGCCGCTGCAAGCGTGCCAACTGCCAAGGCGATGAGGGGTCACGAGCGATGTGCTATTAGAGGCACCACAAGTTTGCCCCATCTCCTACACATATCCTAACTGACTCCTGTCCTCATTCTATCATGCGGTATCCATCCATCATGTTCACATTATATAATTTATCATTCATGAAATCATCATATTCCGGGAGTCGTTTTTGTTTTTGAGTCCAACGTCCTTTGAGTCAAATCCAAATCCACCATCCCACCCACCATCCATCCATCCGTCCGCCCGTCCATCCATCGATCCATCCAATCCATCCACCTACTCAGCCACCCACTGATTCCAATCATCCAACAATCCTGCCACATCCTGCCACCCATCACACAGGCCAAGCTTGAGAAGGTCCCGCCTATGGAGGAAACTTCCTTGCTGGAGGAGCTAAACAAGGACTTGCCGCCTGGTTGCAGGGTCGGCATGCCTAGGAAATGTACAGATTGACCCAAATATACGGTTCCTTGTTTCAACAGTGAATCGGATTGATTGACGACTGTTCAAACTTATTGACATCATGTCCACTTGCCCTGACATGCCCTGACTATTCCTTTTGGGTCCTTTTGGTGTAGAAGTGCTGAACAACCCCAAATACGCAAATCTGAGTATGTAATATACATGGATGTGCTGGTTGGACAGAGTTGGATAGAGGATTTCCTCAACGATTCCAGCAAATTGAACTTCTCCATACTCTCCCCGTTCCCTGAGGCCAAAGTGGCCGAACGCGTCTGGAAGTCAACAGCCAGCTGAACCGAACACACCAGCGCTGTCATCGGCCGCTGCAAGCGTGCCAACTGCCAAGGCGATGAGGGGTCACGAGCGATGTGCCATTAGAGGCACCACAAGTTTGCCCCATCTCCTTCACATATCCTAACTGACTCCTGTCCTCATTCTATCATGCGGTATCCATCCATCATGTTCACATTATATAATTTATCATTCATGAAATCATCATATTCCGGGAATCGTTCTTTTTTTGAGTCGAGCGTCCTTTGGGTCAAATCCAAATCCACCATGACACCCACCATCCATCCATCCGTCCGCCCGTCCATCCATCGATCCATCCAACCCATCCACATACTCAGCCACCCACTGATTCCAATCATCCAACAATCCTGCCACATCCTGCCACCCATCACACAGGCCAAGCTTGAGACGGTCCCGCCTATGGAGGAAACTTCCTTGCTGGAGGAGCTAAACAAGGACTTGCCGCCTGGTTGCAGGGTCGGCATGCCTAGGAAATGTACAGATTGACTCAAATAATCCCAAATATACGGTTCCTTGTTTCAACAGTGAATCGGATTGATTGACAAATATTCAAACTTATTGACATCATGTCCACTTGCCCTGACATGCCCTGACTATTCCTTTTGGGTCCTTTTGGTGTAGAAGTGCTGAACAACCCCAAATACGCAAATCTGAGTATGTAATATACATGGATGTGCTGGTTGGACAGAGTTGGATAGAGGATTTCCTCAACGATTCCAGCGAATTGAACTTCTCCATACTCTCCCCGTTCCCTGAGGCCAAAGTGGCCGAACGCGTCTGGAAGTCAACAGCCAGCTGAACCGAACACACCAGCGCAGTCATCGGCCGCTGCAAGCGTGCCAACTGCCAAGGCGATGAGGGGTCATGAGTGAAGTGCCATTAGAGGCACCACAAGTTTGCCCCGTCTCCTTCACATATCCTAACTGACTCCTGTCCTCGTTCTATCATGCGGTATCCATCCATCATGTTCACATTATATAATTTATCATTCATGAAATCATCATATTCCGGGAGTCGTTCTTTTTTTGAGTCGAGCGTCCTTTGAGTCAAATCCAGATCCAGACAGGCCGAACTTCAGAAGGCCCCGAGTCCTGTGGCGGAAACTTCCTTGCTGGAGGAGTTAAACAAGGACTTGCCGCCTGGTTGCAGGGACGGCATGCCTAGGAAATGTACAGATTGACCCAAATATACGGTTCCTTGTTTCAACAGTGAATCGGATTATAAAAAGACGAATATTCAAACTTATTGACATCATGTCCACTTGCCCTGACATGCCCTGACTATTCCTTTTGGATCCTTTTGGTGTAGAAGTGCTGAACAACCCCAAATACACAAATCTGAGTATGTAATATACATGGATGTGCTGGTTGGACAGAGTTGGATAGAGGACTTCCTCAACGATTCCAGCAAATTGAACTTCTCCATACTCTCCCCGTTCCCTGAGGCCAAAGTGGCCGAACGCGTCTGGAAGTCAACAGCCAGCTGAACCGAACACACCAGCGCTGTCATCGGCCGCTGCAAGCGTGCCAACTGCCAAGGCGATGGGGGTCATGAGTGAAGTGCCATTAGAGGCACCACAAGTTTGCCCCATCTCCTTCACATATCCTAACTCCTGTCCTAACTCTATCATGCGGTATCCATCCATCATGTTCACATTATATAATTTATCATTCATGAAATCATCATATTCCGGGAGTCGTTCTTTTTTTGAGTCCAGCGTCCTTTGAGTCAAATCCAGATCCAGACAGGCCGAACTTCAGAAGGCCCCGAGTCCTGTGGCGGAAACTTCCTTGCTGGAGGAGTTAAACAAGGACTTGCCGCCTGGTTGCAGGGAGTACCCCTCCGGTGGCCGCAAACACTGCTGGGAAATCCCCTCTAAATCTCATTGAAGTGGAAAAAACATCTATAAATGGGTGATTGTATGTGATTGTCCATGCCATGTTAATTGTATCCGATGTGCTCGATTTTGCTTCATTGTTGAAATGACAACCTTATGGTAGAATGTGTGTGTTTTTGTGAAAGATTACAGTGGCCAGCCATCCAGCGCAAACATGAACCATATTTGGAGATATTTGGAGCATTTCACCCCCGGCCAGGCCAAGATCATCAAGGTCTATTGCACTTAGAGGTCCCAATTTTACTTCCATTGGTTCTTGTTGAGCAACAATTCTTATTGCTCGATGAGTTTCAGCCATGAGACCTATTCTCCATTGTCTCCATGAACTCTTTGTTGAGATCTGTCGAAGGTCGGGTTTTGAGGACATTAAGACTCCCTGTGATGACTTGATATGTCGAATCAAATTTAATATTATTAGAATAGCCAAACTAGGAAGACATAGAACTAACCGACAAATTAGGAAGACATAAACAAACAATCATCACACTAACATTAACCGTTGATATGATTTCTTAAGAATGACACCATGTTATAAATGGATACTTATTGAAGATTGATACATTGATTATTGAAACAACTTAATGGTTGATTGTTATACTATGGAAGTATTCAAAAACACTCTTTGCGCAGCACGAAAGAATGCACCGAGGCAGACTAGGTCAATGACATCGAGGCCCCTCGGCCCACAGTTTGGGCGAGTTCAATCCTCTGGTGATGTCCCATTGTCCCATTTTTTTTTTTTAAATTGGGATGGGTCAATACCTATAGATACATTAGTGGGATGAACATCCATTTACCAGCTATTTTGGGATTCACTAGGTACCAGGGTTTTGACCCATCCCCAAATCACCAGCAGAGTTTTTTTGGGACAATGGAACAATGGGACATCACCATCACCGCCATCACCATACCATAATGTCCAGTTCTTTCTTGCCGGGGTCATATGCCCTGCGAAGTGCCGCATGGTAAAAGCCACATTTTGGTGAGTAAAATCCGAACTTTCCTGGGTGTTTTCACCCAAATAGCTTGTTTATCCACACCAAAAATCTTAGAATCTTCGTAAATTACATAAACCAATAATCTGGGTAAATTATAACGACCTCACTGCGACCTCACTGGAATCATAGTTAGTAAGGGGAATCATCCCCAAATGGCCTTAATTCAGGTTAGTGAAATATTATAATTTACCCAGAATAATAAACCATCCCCAACTCAGCATTTTTATGGGTGGTAACCATCCCCAGTCGTGATCGGTTTATGACTTTATGGCATAGCTCGGAGCTCCCCCAGTGGCAAAACGAACCACGAAAGATGGGTGAAAAAACGGATTTCCTGGGAGTCAACGAAGAAAAAATGGGGAGTTAAAAAAGTGATTTAGCCAACAGACATGGTGATTTTCATGGGATATATTTTTGGGATATCATCGAGATATACAACCAACTGCATCATTTGAAGACCTTCATTCCTTGTCCGTGTTCAAAAGCAAGTAGTGGGGCAAGACTACTGGGACATTACATGGCAGATTTTCAAGTTCAAGCACTAGAAGCAGCATAATTTTTTGAGCATGCTGCAGCATGCTTTCCAGTTACTGTTATCCAGTTGGTTACCCCGTAACTTTTACTTACTATGTTTTTTTTGATTATATAAATTATATATATAATATATATATATTATATACATATACTAGAACAATAATGATGTGAGATAATAATCATACCATTATATAATAATTATTAACATTATATTTTATGATGTTCCTGCACTGAAACATGGTTTGCTGGAACATCTGCCAGGTGCCTGGAGAAGACCGAGACGAAGACCAAGGCGGCCTAAATTTCGGTGGTCATCCAATCATAAACATAGAATATTTACATAATATATATATATATAATAGACATATAGTAAGATTAGTAAGCAGATTAAATATCATACATCAATCATACAAATAAATACCTTACAATCATATATATATAATATAACACACACACAAAATGTATCATCATGACATATCTAGGAGGGGTTAGTGGGGTGTGTCCCATCACTGGATACCATTCCAGCTGGGATGTGCTTTTTTCGCCTTTGAACAGCTGTGGCAGTAGTCATATTCTCATCGTTGGCGAAATCCTGAATTTGTAATGTGGTTTTTATAGAAATTAGTGTCATCCAAAACATGTAGTCATATAACTTATATAACTGCACAAGAAAAGCTGACTAATATCATATTAGGGGATCATTGAAAATATCAATCCATCGTGATCGACTTCTCTGGATCCGTTTCGAGGGTTGGATTCTGGATTCCCATGGGACACATTCACCACACCTGGTCTCCCAAGGATCCCAAGGATCTGCAGGATCAAGGTGCCGGCAGGGGGGCTTAATATCACACTCCTCATTTTTGCAGAAAAACATGTGAGTTTCCCCGATGGTTTGTTAAGGTCCATCAATTCAAGAGAACGTTAGATGGAGTGGGCATTCAAGTGGAAAGATGGTTGTAGGATACCACAGTTTCTGTTCCAAAGTAAAGATATTCATGCCAGTTGGTTGGCGATTCCAGTCGACATGAGTCCCAGATATCTTGCTGGATTCCTATCCAGCAAGTGGGTGAGGGGCACAAGCCACTTCGAGGGATGTCGGCTTCGATCAGCGGCTTCTGAGGTCGTAGGGAACCGCGGGAGCCACAGCGTCTTGGGGATGAGAGGCCGCCCTTGGTGGAGCTGAAAAC